AAAGAGTGACCCCAAAAATCGCCTATTTTTGGTCCCGCGATATTGGAACTGAATTGTGTGCCAAATGATACCTTATGACAAGATATCAATCACAAAAAATTTTTAAGTTGAGGTGAGCATTGGTTCCAGAGATATGGGAAGTCAAAGTAATTAAAATTCACTAACGCGTCAGCCCATACTTTAAAGCACGAATTTTTATGCCAGCATGAGGGGAGTGTTGGCACATGGAGGGGATGTGCTAGCAGCGCTCGGGAGGTAGAAGAGCGCAGACATACAATCTTGTTACAATACATACAATATTGTTACAATCTTACTTACTACAATCTGCTGTTCTTTTGAGAACTACTTCCCGAATCAGGATCTTTTTCAGGATTACTGTTCTAATCAGTTCTTTTCAGAACTACTTTCGCAGTTTTCTTCAATTTTGATTTCATCTTTTGATATTTTTAACGTTCTCCATTACATAATGTCTTCAGCCACTTGCTTAGGCTGCGAAGAGCAAAAACGAAGGAAAGGTGAAAAGTTTTACTTTGTTGACAACATTCCAAATTCATTGCTTGTTATTAACAACTTGCGACAAACTTATAACGCGAAAAAACGAAAATTAGTTGAAGTAAGCAATATTCCACCAAAAAGCAGAGTCTGCCACAAATGTTATAAACTGAGTAAAAAACCATGCTTGTCAATGTCCCACTCTGATCCAAATGTACCTGACTTATCTATTTATCAAAAGGAAACAACTGTCATCTAGGGTATACATTTGGCTGCAAAAATATTGAAAACTTGATTTCAGTTCCAAACATGATTCGTCATGAGCTTGTAACGATGCATTCCCCCATCGTTACTGTACCGTACCCGGCCGCCGATCCGCCGGAAGTCCGCCGCCCGACGAACACCGGTCGGGCAAATGCGGAGGCGCTGAGCGCCCATTTTTAAATAATATCAGAAACGCGTAAACATATAACCGCCGTTAGGCGCGCGAAAACATCGAGAACCGACGACGCGCTCGGGTAACCGACCGACCGCTACAGGCGAATTACGCGCGCCGAAAACCGGTATAAATAGAGCGCGTTTCTGAACATCGGGACCAGATCTTCCGCACCGCCAGAGTCTGTAAGACTGTAAGACACCGCCTAGATCCT